GCGCGAGGCCAGGCCGCTCCCCGGCCCCCTCGCCCGGCGGGCGGCCCCGTCTCGTCGCGGCAGTGCTCCGGTAGGCGGGCTGCGGCGCACGCTCCTGCACGCACGTGCGTGCGCACCTCCGTGCGGCACCGCGCCGCGCGCTCCCGTTGGCAGCAGGTAGAGCCAGGAAGACAATTTTTGGACTAGAGAAACATCCTGCCTTTGTCCCGTGAAACGTCACTTCAACGCAGCCAAATTGCAAAGCGTTTTTAAAATAATTCCTGGTTTCTCTCATCTCCCTCCTCCTCCTAAGAGAAAAATGGCAGCCTGCCAAAGCAAGGTCAGGTCAACGTTAAACAGCAGCAGGCTCTGTAGTGGGGACACGTAGGGGCCAACAGCTGCTGCACGCAGGTAGGAAAGATCTAGATGAGACGAACTCACTCCCCCTTTTGTTCCCTCTCCTAAAAAGACTAGCACGTGAGGCCACCCCTCTTCTTCCCCCTTGCAGTAGACAGGGAAGGAGCTCCCCCTCTGAGCCTGAGGAGGAGGAGAAAGACATCTAGCAGGTCGTTGCCGCTTAGCATGCGAGCTCAGTATCTTCGTCTTTCGGGGAGAACAGCCTTCCCTTACCCTACTCACTGCTGAAATGCAAACGAAAGAGACTGTTACAGCACTACACGTTCACAATGGAAGACTATTATCGTTTAAGATAATTTACTCTTTTTTTTCCCCCCCCATAGGTAATTTAAGTTACTTCTAAGAGGCCAAGTTAAAAGAAAATTAGAAGTGCCGGATTTAATGTAATTGTGCTATTTGGAGAAATGCATTAGGATAGTCTTGAATGAACTGATCACACGCTTGTTTTCTTAGATGACCCTTACCTTATTCAGTGAACCAGACAAAATACACAAATGCAGCTAATTTACCTTGCAAGAAAATATGCATGTTGCTAACTGCCTGTTTTACAGAGAAGAAAATAGAGTCAATAATACATGGCTTTTGAAGAGAAATCATTTTTCTTAAGAACGTATCAGAATAGGAAAAGACCTCATTATTTGGAATTCTTCTCTAGAGTTATTCATTCTGACGTCTTGAAATTATTTCTCTAGAACTTCCTGCCTCTTCATCTCTGACATTTTTCCTTTTCCACCATCTTCTCTTTATCTTAGCAATTGTCAGATATTTTACATTACCACCTTAGTTCAAAAATCTGTGTGATAAAATAAAGCAGGACAAGCAAGGTTTAATTTCTCAGGTGGTTCCAGCATCCTACATCTGTGCTTTTCACCCCAAAGTCTTAAACTCAGTGGGGCACCACTGAGTTGCAACTCATCTGATCTGTTTTAACAGATCAATCCAATCCAAAGATTGTCAGGAACAATGCCTTCAGGGATGCCTGTTTGTCTGCATTGACCATAACGGTGTGCAGAACACTAGTTCATAATGAAAATGTCTTCACAAAAATATCTCATTTGGTCAGACAAAATCTTCTCTCTTGGCTTCTGTAGCTGTAAACTGATACACATCTAAAGAAAGGCAGGACAAAACCACCCACTGTCTGGTTGTATCTGAAGACATTTGGACCTAAAGAAAGGTTTATGTGTTTTTTCTGACTCTATTACCCAGAAATAAAAGATATTACTTTGCTGTACAAATGTTTCCATAGACCATAGTTTCCATAACTGCTACTCACTTCTACCTGCTAAGCAACGGCGTGTATACTTCAGCCAAAAGAGGCTGCCCCATCCAAAGAATGCCCATTATAACAGCGTGTACCTTCGTTCCAGCCCCAAGAAGGTGTAAATATCCACTTTGTTACCACACTTGTTGTAAACTACTATTTAAGTCTCCAGGCAGGAAGATGTTCTGTAATCGAGCCCATGTTTTCTTTCTGAAGACCGAATTTACAAAATGCAAAAATGCTTCATTTTACATAAAGCACATCCATTTGGGAGGGCATGGTTCGTCAAGCATCATCCCAGGGTTGGAGACTAAGCAGCTCCAGCGTTAGCCCATTAATGCCATCCTTTCTTTTGTGCCACTACAAGCATTTGGGCAGCAAAAATAGCAAATTAGACTGAAGAACTACACTGCCCTAAAATTTTTTATTGTTGTTTTTATTTTTCAGCCAGATCAATTTTCTGATCTGGCTTGCCACATGTGCAAATGCTCTCACCAACACTCGGGGGACTGGTGAAGGGGTGGGAAATGCATCAACCCAACCAACTTAACTACTATTAGACCAACATTTAAAACCACAGTCCTTTTCAATGGTCTTGGCAAACCAAAAGGGCACTATTTTAAGCAAGTTTGTCTTTTTTTCCCTATTTTTATGTTCATGTTGCCTTTTTTTGTTTTTTGTTTTTTTTTTTTAATTGATGGTTAAAACGTCAAGCACACAAAGAACACTGCAGACTGTGAAAAGTACTGGCTACTTTGTAGAGAGGGAGGAGCCATATAGTTACTTTTATCATCTTCGTTATCAGAAAGGTAGTGTAGAAAGGTCTTTGAGGAAGACAGGATCCTCTCCGAGTCTGAAGGTTATCAGACTACAAATTCGTAAAGCCACTGTCTCTAATACCTTTGCTCATCATGCTTAAAAACAGGCTTGAAAGTTAATTTTAGGCACAAAAACCACACTTCATTAGGCATTTTAAAAGTCAGAAGGGGAAGAAAATTGTATTGAAAATAAAGACATTAACAAAGCAGATTTTGCTGAACATTAACAAAGCAGATAAAGCATCAACAAAGCACAGTATAGGATATTTTAGAAGGCAATTTGTCTCTTTTCTTACAAACCTAGCAATCACAGTTTTCAAAAAGTAATTGAAACCCAAGCCGATACAAACAGCTTTATGTCATGCTTCTGAAAAGATTTTTCACCTTCAGAACTGTAATGAAATACCTCAACTGTTATTCTTGTGTGGTATCAGCAGTATATTACTGATCAGGCATAAAAGAGGACCTCGGGTGGCAGAAAGGAGCAGCTGCACTTTCCAATCACTCTTCTACATAATTTAGCTCATTTTAATTGCCCTGTGCCATGGAGTCATACTATGCTGCTGCTTTACATGAAAAGAAAGGTCTGTTACACTTGCTGCACAAGTGTATGACTTTGGCCCTGAGTGCCCTTTTGTTACACCCTGCAAAAAATGTACGTGAAAAAATTTTAGGTACATGAAAAAAACATGTTTAAAGGCTGTTGGTGGCTCATATTTATATATCCCTAGATTTAGATGTTTAGTTTTAGTGAGCTTGATATTTCAGATTCTTTAAATTCTGCATCACTCATAATTCGGAGCACTTTAAGCAGCTAAGCCTCAGAGAGCAGTTCAAAAAGTCTGCCTGAGCCCTAGAGGTGCCTCAAATCAATGGGCACCTTTGGGGCCACTGAGCTCCTTATCTACGTAAGCAGAGGACCCTGCATATTTTTAGTATCCTGTTTTTAGTGAAAGAGGGGAAGCTGGTCACCTGGACATCCAAACCACACCTAACTCACTTCAGTACCATCAACTCCACTCAAAACATAAACGGAGGAGGGCGTGCACAACTTGTTTAATAAGCTTGCAGCCACAGCACCCCTCCTGGAAATGGGAAATAGAAGTTTCAGGCCCTTCTTAGCCCAAAAGGTCTGAACAACAGGCTCCCAGGTCTCAGACGAGTGCCCTCTAACAACCTCCTGAGCCACTGCTCCTGAAGCTGAGCTTACTATGCACATAGAAATGCAAGAGTCAAGGTCCCAAAAAGGGAATAGAAGCAAGAAGGGTCCTAAATCTCCACCCTGCTGAAGAATCCAGGACAATTTATCTCAGAATTTGCGCTCTCAGATGTTACACAGAGTAAGAGCTGTTCTTTCTTATTCTGAGAGATATGTTGTTTGGCTCCTGATGTAATGTGTCTCTCCCTATATATTTCCCTTGAGACTTTAACTAACCTGCCCAGAACATCAGGGAGAATGGAATTAAGAAATCAGATACATAATCTCAATCTCTCACCACCAGGAAAAGTTCAAACCTTTAGAAAACAAAACACATATATATTTTATAGGTTTTGTATTTTCATGCTTTCTCTGAATGTAAAAAGATTTCCACAAACTGTTCATCTCATACCAGCCTGTCTTATGAAAGCAGAGATGAAAGTGTATGATGAAGAAACAGCAAGATTAGTCACATGCCCCTGCAGCAGGACCTGTTCTAGCACATTTCTTTCATAGTTTGAAACATAGTAAATGCAACTAAGAGGTGTGCTGCACATTTTTCTGAACCAGTCAGTTACTGGGGATTAGATTAATGTGCAGATTCAAAGACAAAGTGTAGTTTTAGCTTCCCAATTCTAACCACAGCAGTAGTAGCAGTATACAGAGAGTCCACAGTCGTATCTTTTCTTGGGCATCTTGAGAAAATAATGCAAATGTCAACACATACTTGCTACTCAATTATAATTACATTTGCATACAGTGTTTTCTGATAGTTAGGCATTATAAGGTACAGAACTATGAGCATTAAGTTGTACAGGCCACTCAAAGGAGCAGAATATTCAAACTTTAGACTTTGTGAAAGTCTAGGCAAACACTACTAACAGGACAAATACTTCCAGTAATTTTTCATGTGCTGAAAAGAACAAAACTGAGAATCCATCCAAATTGTATCACAGACTGAAGACTACACACAGAGATGACATACAATCTGATCTATCAGCACAAATCATGTTTTGGAGTCTGACTTCATTAAAAAATATTCTGATTTCATATTTAATTGTTAACAAATAAGGGATTTTCAAGCTTGTTATGTTTATGAGTATCATTTCCTGCACCTCACATGAATAAACTGCTCACATTATGAGGTATTTGCAGAATCAGCCTCTAGAGAACGTTAAGTAATGTGGCGAGTTAATGTTATGTTTTGTTCAGGCTGTGGAAAGGCAAATCTATGGCTGGACATGAGTCAGAGTATGCTGTGAAGGAGCAAGGATGCTTGGAGCCACTATGCAATGTCTGCGGCGGTGCCAGCAGCTGAGGCAGGCTGCAGAAGAGAGAGACAGGGCTACTGGCATTCACAGAAGAAAACTGCTGAAAGAGTCAGAAAGTCACTCCTGTGATTCTGAAGGCTAGTTTATCCTGGCCTGCTGGAAGGTCACTTGGAGGAAAAAGTTCAGAGGGTTTCAAATCTCTCCTAAAGGAAATCTAACCTGGAATGCTTAATTAGACTTCCTTGGGCTGGTGAAGACAAACACAGCGCCTCTAGGTGAGGAAAAAAAATTAGTCAACAATGACTGGTTAGTTGTAGCTAATGAAGTCATGGCTTACTAATACAATCTGAGATGAAGTTGTGGTGACTATGTATTCCTCAAGTGACCTTCACATACCACCTGCCCAAAGAAATCAGTGAAGCGTATTTCAGAGATGCAGTCCTAAAAACAAGGGAGCAAAATGACGGGTGATCAGGATAAAATGACATGCTTAGTGATGGCAGCAGCTCCCAGACTCCAGGGAACAAGAAACCCTTGGTAACGGCATAGCCTGTAATTGCTTACATAGGGAAACAATAAAACTGAGTGTGCTCAAACTGTTCTCAAATGCACATGGCAGAAAATGAGAGGGAGGGGGGAAAAAAAAAATCCTTTCTTGCAACAGGACCCATTCCTTTCAGTTACAGTATTTTCAGGTATTATTGGAAAGACAGACAGTACTAAATATCAACACCACAAATGTGATTTCCAAGTTGAGATGATCATTTAAATAAACTATCTTACATACTTCTCACTAGCATGAAACTTCCACTGGCCAACACTGAAGATGTCCTTATCGTTCAACAGAAGCTCTGCACATGCATGGGAGGATCAGGAGTTAAACATAGAAGACTTTGCCAAAAGAGTCTGAAAAAGCACTTACAAGGACATGATAGATAATTCACTGCCCAGGCCAAAAAAAAAAATCCCACTTGCCTTACATATAATGTATATAAATAGACATCTTATTCTTGTGCACACTAAAAAGACGTAATGCCAGAAAAATAATGATGCTTTTTCATTTTATTACAGTTCATTTTAAATACAAATTTCAATCAACTTTTTTCCCTCCTCAGAAACCTTGCCATCATCAGTGGGTTTTTTTTCTGTTCTTCTTCAGTGTGTTCACTAAGCGTCATATAACAATAGCAATTCAGAAATACTTTACTCTTTCCTTTGTAAAAACATTGCAGTGCCTAATACCTTGTTAAAAGAGAAAGTAGGTAAATAATGATTTGGCTTTAAAAAAAATTCACAGCCTTTTCTCCAATACTATGAACATCAATCATTTGTAAATTGTTTCAATAAAATACATTCTTTAAGAATAAAGCATGAAATAGCAGCAGATGTAAATATGGTTTCAGTAAGTCCAAAAATGCACAAACTCCACTTCTTTAAACATATCATATAGTTAATTCCATATCTCCCAGTGGGAAAAAACCCACAATCTAGTATCTTTCCTTTGTTGAAAAGAATATAGGCCACGTTATATACGTTTTATAGCAATAGTAGCTGGACTACTAAGTGTAACATCTGAGCAGGTCACCTATACTATCACACTCTTTTGCTTTGCCTGAGTCATTAAAAAAAAAGTATGGAAGTTGGCTCCAACTCCTTGCTCCTAGAAGAGCAAAGGGGTCATATCTGGACCCTAAAGAAAAGGTGGATAGATATGTTCAGCTGTGAAATAGTACAATATAGGTCGTTTCAATTAAATTGAAGAAGCTATTGCCAAAGCATGTTCCCAGTCTTCCTTTGCGGAATACAAAGCAGATATTTGTCCCAGGTAGATACCACTTTATCAACATGCACCTTCCCTCTCTCACAGGGATGAAAACTCACTAAAGAGAGTAACCATTACATAGACATTCAGTGCTATACAGCATGGGAGTTCCTCATCCTTAAACAATGTAATCTTTTTTGCTGGCCATTCAGTTTCAAGCAACAAATCTTTCCTGTTGGTCCCAATGATACCTTACTTTCTCATTCTAATTTGTCTGTTTAAAATATTTAGGAGTGCTCATATGAAAGTGATGAATATGCTCATAATTATGTCCATCTTTATAAGATCCAAACCTAAGCAAAAATATTCAAAGCAAAATCATTACAATATGAATTAACCTATGCAATTAAGTCATACACATTTATAGTACAATTAACATTTCATATGAATGCTCTAGATAGATATTTCATTTCAGAAAGAGGCCACAACTCTATTTACATATAAATCATAATCTGTAAAAACAATCTACCTAAAGGTCTTTGAGTTTAATGGAAATATTTAGTTAGATTGATTGGATTAATGCCATGGGCATTCTATAAGAGGAACTCCAGCTGACAAAGGCAAGAGGTGCTTTCATCCAGTAAAATCCTACGCTAAGTTTTTTCCATTGACTTCAGTGGAGAGGGAGTTTCACCCCTGCAGTATCCAAATACTCAACCCTGTTAACATTGCACATTTTTGTTTTGAAAATTACAGTGAAAATTTTAAATCTGAGGTCTATTAAGATGTACACTTCTCATGCCATGTTTAAACGTGAAAGCTGTGACTACGGACTATTATGGTAGATGAATTTGCACAGAAAAATGTAGTATTTGGTCAGAATGTTAGCACCAACTAAACATTCTAAAGCAGTGACGTTGTACTTCAAAAGAGGTCTAGTTAATTGGAAAAAGTTAAACTTATTCCTAATCAGTATCATTTTTTCTAGTTATAGTCAGACATAAAAGAAATCAGGACAAGAGCACTGTTTCATTCTGCACTGAAATCCACTGAGAAAAATCTGAACTTGTAATGATGACTTTAGGCAAGCTTCATCATGTGGAAAGGACTGGGCAAATCCCTGCTTAGTCAAGAAGCCAGTTATTGAGTAGTAAATAAAAAGAGAGTAAGCTTAGCTGTTAGGTGTATATAAGAAATTAATATATTCTATATTGTGTAAATTACAAGTAGTAAGTTCTACTTATGTTAATATATAACTGCTACCATGGGTGGCAACATCTGTCTCAAACTTCATAACTCTTCCACTGATATTCAGTATAAAATAAATAACTGTCTCCATATTTCTCTTATTTATTCAATATCAGCAGAAAAATGACAGCATTCAAGAAACAGATAATTTGTTGTGTTAAAGCCTCGTCTTTTTTTCCTGACATAGGTAACAAACTGCCTCAGGCATTTTCCTTAACTTTTGTTCCAGTTACATGCTACATTTTAAAATGCTTACGCAAAGAGTATTTAACATTGTATTTAATATTGTATTTCGTGTTCTAAATACTAGTATACTAAAGCCCTGATCCTCAGACTTGCTGAGAAACATGGGAGATACCTCATCGACTATAAAACGAGTCACCAGCACTTGGCAAATCTCCCTAACAAACAATCTCAGAAATTAATCATCTGGGTGAAGTAGACATTACCTTCAATTTATGCTATGGCACAGCAGACTGATTTTCCCAAGGCACATGTCAAGTCAGTGGAAAAAACAGCATTACAGATCAGAAGTTCTTGCCTCCTGATCCTCCGCTCAGTCTGACACTCCTCAGCACTCCCCACTTTAGTAAGCATTTTTTTTCCTAAAATTCTTTTTTATAAAACATTGTGTACATCATCCCTGTAATTACTTTTGAGATGCACTGACCTGGGATTGAAATGGATGTCCTCAGGAACTTGGTTGGGATCAATGACAATTCTATCATTATCAATATAGTTATCCAAGTCATCAGGGATCCTAAATTTGGCCATCTGGACTTCTGAATCACTTAAACCAGCATGAGATATGCGGGCATAGCCCAACCTATCAGGTACAAGGAGGGTTAGTTTGAATAAATAACCGAAGGCAACTTCAGCTCATGCTTAATCCATGACTTTTTTTTCCCTAAGTTACTGTTTCAACTATCAACATAGCTTTCTGCAAACATCACCTTCAAAAATCTTAAAGTGCTTCATAAACAAAAACACCATAACACAATGTCACAAGTAGAAAAACTGAGAAAGCATAAGTGCTTGACAACAAAAATATGTTCTAGAGCCAGAAAATTTTTGTCAACTATTCTTTCAGAATATACATACTGGTATAATTTCATCAACCTTTTCAGCAAGGGATTCTGAAATTCAAGAAAGGAACTCAAGCATCAATGGCATGAGTAACTGGAAAAAAATTAGATTGTAAATAATATTTTCTTACTTGATTCAGTTACTTAAGACAGCTATGTAGATTACTGCTTTTACTCCTGTTAACACTGCAGAATTTGCAGTTAATTTAGAATAAGCTGAATTCTATTCTGATACATATGTCACCAGGAGAATGATTTCTAAGCAACCTGGCATTACAAGGTACGGAGCACAAACGCCCAAGCATAGGAAAGTGCTTAAATACAGGCTTACACAGTTAAAGTTTCCACCAAATCCAGCATAAAGCTTTGACAGATCGGATCAGCATTTTGCATGAACAAACCCTACAATCATAGTTCATAATTTGTATCTTCTGTGTCATACACAAATTAGGGCTTAGCCTTCACAATTTTAGGATGAAGCTGCAAAGCCAGAGCTTGGATCTTGGAAAAAAGCGTTTTTATGTTACCAAAGCACATTACATCTGAATGCTTTTGCTATAGAAAGCCTTCTAACACTGTTATTGCAAGTGATATTCAGAAATAAACCAATTCATCCTGAAGTCCATGTTTCACATTACTTCATGGTATACCTAACTGCCTATACAGAATTGTTTAGGGATGTAAAACTGTTATGCAAGTTCCTACAGAAACATCTAAAATTTATAGTCATAAACAGATCTAATACCAATGAATAAACGATCCACTTTGCCATACCTTATTACTCCACGATACATAATATAACTACACCATCTGTCAAGATCTGTACTGTCAATATCCTACAGGTGGAAGAGAAAAAAAAAAAAAAAGTCAAGCAAATAAGGCAAGCTTTCCTTAAGAGGGTGCTTTAAATCAGCAACAGAATCAATGCGTAAATCTGCTGCAGAAAAGCACTTTGCCTGAGGTGTAATAACAAGGTAGAAAGGAAAACAACCCACTATGCTGTGGACAAACCAGACAACCTTTGACATTTCCTGACAGACAACTGAACTGCAGAACCCTCTTTTAAAACAACAGAATAACAACTAGCATGAGATAGGTTGGAATGGTGCTCTTGAGGTCACCCCAGTCCCAACCCCCTGCTCAAAGCAGGGCCAACTTCAAGCAGGTTGTTCAGGCATCTGTGCAGCCAAGTTTAGAGTACAGCCAAGAATGGAGATTTCACAACCTCTCTGGGCACCTGTTCTAATGCTTGACAATGCTCAATGTGATTTTTTTTTTCCTACTACCTAATTGGAATTTCCCTTGTGGCAACAGGTGTTCACTACCTCTCGTCTTTTCCGCTGTGTATCTCCACCTTCTCTATAACACTTCATAAGGTAGCTGAAGATTATATTTGAAAATCAGCATTTATTTCCTTGTATGTCTGTTTCTAAGTTATGAATCTGAACTCTTAAACCGAAGTTTAAAAATATAGATTATCTTCAACTGTTGAAAGAAGCAGCATCTTTACATTACCTGGACATTTCCATTTTCTATTAATTCAGTATAATCTCTGGATCCAGGAGCTGAAGTGATGTATCCCAGAAATACAACTTGCTTAGAGCTATTCTTCAACAGCTTGGCAACAGCTATGGCCTGGAGTTTTCTGTCCAAATCCTCTCTGAAGGAAATGGAAAGACTTTAATATACATGTATTTTAGCTTAGATTCTTTCTGCTATACCGCAGTAAACTGCTTACAAGTCTCAAATCATTTGTTTCAAATCACTCAGTATTACAAATTGTGAAAGCTTACAGAGAGCTGACTGATTTGAAATAATCATAATGTTTGATAAAAGCCATATAGTAGACACAGTTAGTGTTCTCTATTACATGAAAAACTTGTTCTATTGTTATTTTGTTTTTAATATCAAGCTCATCACTGGGAAATGTGAATTTCTAAGTGCTTTGGTTATCTGAGACTTTGTGTCTGTCTGCACTTGAAATTTAATTATGCTAGCACAGACTGTCTGGTGCATAATAAAGAGTTCACATCCTAACAGAGCCCTTTACTTTTATCATGGATGCATCATGGTAAGAAGTAGTTTTAAAGTCTGAGTCACATAATTTATGAAATATAATTTAAGAGCTATGTTGTCCCATTACTTACAACATTTGCCAAGTATTTTGCATCTCTTTATAAGATTTACAGAACAGTTTCAATGTGACTAGAATTGATAGCACAGAAGAGTCTGCTAAAATACTGTAGTATTGGATCATCATTTCTATCTCTGGATTTGTTTATTATATAATGTAATGATGCTTCTCTTTTCATGATTCTTCACGTTAGTAACTTTTTAAAGTTGAGTAAAGCATGTTTTCTTCTATATCTTTTGTGGACTGGGCTAAATACCATTGAGATAGCAAGCTGATTTTGGAAACTGCAGTCCCAAAAGAAGATAGGAGCTGAAACACTATTCTAACGAATTTAGAAAGCTACTATGCTTTCTAAATAACACTACTTCTGACTGGAGCAAACGCATTAAGGAAAAAGAGCAGACAGAGAGGAGACCAAAAAAAAAAGACTATTTAAATAGAAGCCTGGCCCAGGTGTATATAAAGTTGCCTGCTCAGCTAGCTACTCTTTCCAAAAGTACTTCTCTCTAGAAAATGGGTTCTCTTAAAGGACAGCAGTATTGATATATTCTCACATTTTAAAAAGAGCCTGAAAAAAAAAAATCCTAGTTATCCAGTATCCTAGTTTATGTCATCCTAAGCAATAATAAAAGATAAAAAACAAGGTTTTACATCCTATCTAATTACAAATTAATTCACCTTAAAACAATTTAATTTGCACTTGTTTCCCATGTGTCTCCTCCTATTATCTCCTTCATTGTTTTCTCTCTGTGAGGGGGACTACATTGCTATTTTCTCCTATTTTGACAAATAGTTTCTCAGAAGCAAGTCTAATTGTTTACATGAGGCACAAAATGGAGCATTTTTTTAGTGTTCAGATTGAGAGTGGTTTCTGACAAATATATATTATTTAGTAAAAGGGAGCTCTACAAACAATTTGCTCACTTGGAGCACAGCTTTTACACAGAGGATGGAGACAGGGAAGCTCAGTATGGGATGGGATAAAGGATTCCCACTGTTTTTAGGTTATTTCTTTGGGTATTATATTCTGTACCCATTTCATAAATTTGCCTTTTGAAAAAATACAATATGAAATAAATTCCCAAATCTTATTACATAATCAGAAACATAATGTGAGATACTGCAAGAAATAAAACAGAAAACATAGCTATACAGAGTTTCAAAAAGCTATGCATTATTAATATTCATTACGCAGAACTAATCAAGACACTGTTTTAAAGTAAAGAACTGAAAGATATACCTTAATCTTTTCCATCACATATTTCAGCTACTCATATACTTCTTTATTTCAGAATCTGTTTATCAAATTTTGTATTTCCAGTTTCACACAATCAGAAAGACACTGTATAGATATTTTTCTAGCCACTTTGACATAGTACTTCCTTGGAGGCTGCAGAATCGTTACTTTTTACTTTAATAAACATCAACTGCCCATTAATGCTATCTATCTGTAACTGCAACTATCTGCCTTCCTTGTGGAATATAATGGGTCTCTTCCACACGCAGAGTCCGAAGGATGCTACCCCTAACTGAGAAACATCTGTAGTCCTGTTACTTGTTCTGGTTTTGCAGAACTATACCTTTGTAACGTCTCTAGTAACATAAACCTGGATATTAGGCTCCGCTGAGTTTTGCATGACACGTTTTTCCCTTTAAAAAGCTTCAACATTTTTAACCATTAGCTATAGCATAAGTAGTTCCTCCAGTATGCCTTGCTAGAGCCAATATTACAGCGGAAGATGTTAAAGGCTACAAAATAAATAATATAGATAGAAGCTCACTAATTACAATTATGTTTCACTTCCAACAATATATGTAACAATAAATAAAATACACACTCTTCATTTCCAAAGTGAGCGACAACAAAGTCAACCAGCTTCCCTGTGAAGTTGACAGTCAAGGAGATGGCAGGTGCAATCTCTCCCTCGGGAGATGGGAGTAGGTGATGCGTGGATTTTACAATTGGATACCTTGATAGTGCCATAATCCTACAGGTGAACAGAGGAAATCAGTTACATTTTCTAGTTCACAAACATCACAGAGGTGTTATAAGCAGACAAAAGTTTGAGCAGAAGACTAACGGTCACAGAACTCAAACCATCAGACCAGAACTGTTAAACCACCTCTAGGCCAGTTTTTCTGAATGTTTTCTTTTTCTCCAAAACATTACTTAAGTAAACACGTCCAGAATTTATTCTCACATTCATTCCTTCACTAAAGAGATTAGTAACAAAGGCTCTATGAGTAGATTATAAATAATAGAAAAAAAGAAAAGAAAATTCAGAGATCTTAACAGATGAATTGTGAATGGACACGAAAGGACTGTTGCTTTGGTGTCTCAGATGAGGCACAAACTTTCAAGTCCAGAGTTCCCAAGAACCCCAAGACGTGCATCCATCAAAAAAAGAATGATGGTCTTGTGATAAGTGTATTTACGTGCTACATCATGAATTTTCACATGGAACTCTTCAAAATAGGCATCTGTGGGCATAATAGAATTTGTACTACTACTACAAGGCATTTTATTTAAAGCAGAAAGAGGCAGTAATACTTCTTTAAAGCAGGAGATTTTCCATTCTTTCAGTTTCTCTCTGGAATCCATCTTAAAACCACTTTGTCTCAGGTTTTTCAAAATATTTGATGAAAAATTTGAGAATTTGAGAGAATGACTTTTCTGCCCCATTCTGCATCATTTAAAGACAGGCTCTGGAAGAGGAAGGTTACTAAATTCTCCTCACATAAGGCAGAACTTAAAAAGCAATTGCAACATCACTAGGAAGTTCCATCTGCCACTAAGATCGGCATATCCCCCTAAAACCAATCTAACCATAAGCTGCTATTTTCCCAACTGCAAATATTTCAAAGATATACAACCGGTAGCTGGTCAAGCATTAAAATAAAGCCAGATACAAAAATTCTGATCACGAAAATAGACTTGTGCCCATTTCCCATATCCATCCCATCCTAGGTTTAACAAAATCAAAATTCCTAACTATTCTAGGTGCAGTTAGACTTTCCAATTGCTATCACTTCTTTCAGCCTGAAATCTAAAGTTCTCAGAGCTCAAAACATAATGAAGGAACAGAGGAAGCAAGTCAGATACAGTATTTGGAATGTCAGATTTCCAAATCTGTCCAGTATATTAAGGGGCAGGGTGCCATTTACTGCAACAACACAGCCGAAGTAGCAGCTGATCCTTTTTAACAAAGAGAAAACTTCTTCACCTGCATTGCATTGTAAAGCTAGTGACTCAGAGCATGTTCTCCAAGACAAGCTCTAACAAGTTACTATGATGATTATTATTCTGATCACTCTTGCCCACGTTTTAGCGGAGTTAGAGCTGGGTACTCTATACCCAACGTGGTATCTTTTCTTGTATGACTCATCAGTCATACAAGACTGTATTTATTGTCGCTCTGTGTGTAAAGATGACTCACCCCCAAGTGTGATCTCTTGCGCTTGGACCAAAATCTGTGTAAAATCCTAGTCTTTCGCCAAGCCACATTGTTGGATCATTGTTCCCAATGAACGGTTTAGAAGCATCGCTTTCCAGAATAGTGATAAAATCTGCATCTAGAGTGAGAAAGAAAAAATCTTTCTGAATTCATAACCATATCAATACATAATGTAATCAGGACCCTGGCAAAAGCGATGCCCGAACGTTGGGTCACCACAGGCCATGCCAACCTCTGATGGAGACACTCAGTGTATGGATACCATAGCTCCTCCCTGGTGAATAACCAGACATACATGATACTGCATAGTACAGGTGGCCTGCACATACCTACTGTGGTGCATTTCAAAAGCGTTAAGACTTTTGGTGCACATACAGATCAACCATGCAACAACAGCGGGTCTGCTGCTTTCAATTTAATGAGCAAGGGCTACACAGTTCATCTGCACTTACCTTCATCCACTAAATCCCCCATTCCTCTCCAACGGGTCCTGGGCAAGAGGCAGCAGGCTGCTGCTGCCAAAACAATTCACCAACCCACAGCAACCTGCAGTCAGCCCCCAGACACGGGAACAGAAAGGTTCCCAGCTTTAGGGAACTGTAGATCATACATGGCCACCGCACTTTCTCAGGGTAGCGTGGTCCCTCCCTGGTTACATGCAGAGGTCAATTTTTGTCACATGGCAGGTCCCCCTACATTTTGGCTACAGAGTAGAGAAAGAGCTATCTCATTCCCAAAGTACCAGCAGCTAGGAAAGGTGGGAGTTTGCAAGCAGGCCACAGGCTGCTTGAGCTGTCCAGGCTCAACTGGAGCAGCAGGTAGGCACGGCTGCAGTATCGACAAGTGCTCCCCCCCCTTTGCAGTAATTATGCGCCCTCAAGTGCTCTCCTACTCTAAAAGGCAGACCAAGTTGCCTTCTCATCCAGGGCCCTCATACGAGCGAGTAAGACCACTAAACGCAGCACCACTCTTGCCACGTGAGTCTTTTTGCTTTTAAAGTGTCTTATTTAGCACCATGAAAGCAATGTTAGCAGGGAAAACGGCAGCTAAAAATATTTGCAAGCGGATTCCCAGATTTTTGCTTCTCTACGATTAGTTCAAATGCTGGCCACAGAGATAATGACAGAAACCGCCGCTGGGGGTTGATGCTGGTTCCCTTCAGAGTAGACAGGCGTTCCAATCACAAAAGCCACCATTACATTTTGCACTTTCATTGTTTCAGCAGTTAGAAAAAAGACTAATGAGCACAGGGAATAAACTCCACCCTACCTTAAAAGGTAGCCCCTTTAAGGCCAAGACTGAACATATTGGCTACACTGAGGAAGTTAGCCACTGCGTTCTCTGTGGCTCTCAAGATCAGCTACTCTTCTTAGGTAAACAAATGGATAATATTTTTCAGGAACAAAGCTCTGTCTAGTCATTGAGACTCTCCTGCTCAACAGTGAATGGATTTACGCATTTCCTAGAAAGCTTAAAGTCGTATTTGATATAACAATATACAGCAGGAGCTCCAAATCGTCCTAATTCCATGAGTGTGGCACAAAGCAAATAACATCTACAAGCCCCAGTGGCCAATGCTCTTCCTTTTGATGTACCCTGCAGCACTGATCTTAGGTCTAAATTCTTCATTTTCTATGACTAATTTCCCAACCAAAACCCTGTCCATGAGCAATAGGTTGGAGATCCTGCCTTACAGTAAAATCAGTGACAACTCACCCAAGCTACTATCACTATTTTTATTCTATACGTGGCTCTGGCTCAGTGAGGAAAACAGATTTATCTGCTTCTTATCTGTACTCCTTGTCTGGGGCATTTTCATTCTAGATCCATTAGGAATTACATAATGCTTCACAACTGAAAAAGCAGAGAGAAGTTAAGCAATATTAAATTTGATTTAAAAGGATATTTACAGTTATTTCATTTGTGCAAAAAATTCTGTACAGACATATAACATAAAACGTTAAGTAAATAAAGTATTCCTCTAACTAGAAATCTCTTTAAAATCTAAACAAATATTACCTTCTGTGCAAATGGATTTTTAACTGAAGCGATTGTACTGGATCAGCTCATAACTTCAGAAGAAAGCTACTAGGCACATGTTCTTGTGTTAATGCAAGAATGGACTCAGTTACCCAGCAGATATTCTTGCTTCTGTTCCTTCACATGAACCCTCAAATATAAATGAAGTGGAAAAAGAAATTACCTGTCTGATTAAGCAAATTAGCAGATCCTTCCAAATTAGACCATCCTTCATTGTCATATGCAAATCGAAAAGGCCAAATCATAGCAGAGAAGTCTCTTTTTGGCACCTGAAAAAAAAAAGAAATAAGGAAAAATGTCAAATACAATTTGGCTTTTACATATTATATCTTTGCAGTCAACAATATCAGATATACAGTGCCATAAAAGACACCTCAGACTAGATATTTTAACCAATATATTCTCCTAATAAAACTGACAGGATCATAAAAGTGTATAGGTATCGTTAATGGCACAGATTTTTCTCCAGCAAGGAGAGAAGTCATGATATTTAATCAGAATTTGTATAAGTAACAGTAAGTACACGAACATAAAAGAGGCCAAGAATATTTAAGAATCTTTTCATCTTTCTCAGAGAAACTACCCACTGTTCTCCTCATTACAAAGTACTATAAACTCGGATGAGCTCTTAAAAAAAAAAAAAAAAGTATGTATATGTATGTAGATATACATATGTATTTTTCCATTCAGCTTTTATCACCTTTTCTGCATCTTCTCCTGTAAGTCATCAGTGACTTCTTTAACAAAAATATTTAGCAACAGAAATACATGTCAAAGAGCAACTTTCAAGTGACTATTTTAGGACTACCAGAAAAAAGAAAACATCTAATTCACAATTGCAACCACTTGCATCAAAAATTAAGTATTATAACAGTAATCAATTCAAACATAAAGTAGAAGCACGTTAGTTTACATCCAATCAAAACAGCTCTAACTTTGAATTAAAATTACTAAATATGCAAGCAACACTCTCAGACAACTTATAAGTAACCTAAATGCTAACATCTGCTAGCATTAAGCATCCTTAATAGTCATTATCATTGCAATATCCAATTTTTGGCCAGCTAGAAAACTGGGATCTTCTAGTTTTCATCCATTTCCTTAACTAATTAGCTGAGAAATATTAATTTAAGTCAACTCACTTGTCAGAGAGGTTCCATTCAGTTATATATATAAACAGAGAATCACAGAATATCTTAGAGTAGAAGGTACCTCAGGAGGTCATCTGGTCAAACTCCCCTGGTGTTAGATGAGGCTGCTGAGGGCTTTGCCCAGTCAAGTGCTGAATATCATTCAGATAAATTCACTTGTAAAAGTAATATTCAATTTGAATGCATGAGGCAAGAATCTCTCAGTTTTTCAAAAATGTTTCTTTCCTTCATAGCAGCACAACAACACTCCAGAGACCCAGCCTAGTCATTTCCCTTCTTCAACATGAATTTGTGAAGTACATTTTTTGCACAAATATTTGATTATTATTGCTAGATACTGCTGTAAAGAGTTCCTAAGCACCAATGAACACACCTAAGGTATCACACGCACACTTCACAGTGAAGTTACTACTTCCATTGACACAGTACTCACCCCTTGCCCCAACTTCTTCTTGTAAGCTCTATAACGTAGACCCAATCCTAGCAAACCAACACCAACAAACAGCCACAAGACTTGAAACAGAGAACACAGAAGTTGCTTTTAAAGTAGGAGGAAATAACCTTATTATTACAGTAAAAAAGAACTGAGTATATTGTCATTCCAAGGTGTGCTATTTATAGACTGGAGACTCCTGGCTGTACACATTTAAATTTCCACATACATCGGTGATAACACCATTCCAAAGTAGCATACTTCAGGAAATCTGTATGTGTGCGGATACGCTTATGTTCTCCAAAACAGAACAGGCTGTGCAGACTGAGCATACCAAATCTCCTCAGAATCCTTGTTTAAAAATCATACCTACTGAGGAATTCATTATAGGACATGAGAAATAGCATCAAGTAAGCTTTTTAGTGTTTTTATTTTCTGTGTTCTGTGTATTCTGTGCATTCTCTGTGTAGATGCATGCAACTTTTATTTTACTTACAATGTGTGGAAGAAAATCTAGTTTACTTTATAAGCCTCTAGATTACAAACAGATATAAGTCCTTCCAGATTACTAGAGCAGCCCTTTGCTAAGTCTACACATTGGCAAAGGCATTGTGGCCTCACAGAACGCAAATTCAAGGCTTTCCCATTGCTTCTGGGCCCTTCCAAATAACAGCCATGGACAGCTAAAGGCTCTCAGGGTTTGGTACATTATAATTTCATGATCAAATCCCTCTGTGGTTATTTCATGTATATAGTGGCACACAGAATCCACAATGACTCCAGCTAACTCTATTCTTTCATCAGATCTTTAAACAGGCATGTAGTTATTTTTCCAGAATTCTTCTGGAACAACTGTACATTAAGTTTACATCAATTCCATCATGGATGAAAGACATGCTAGAGAGGACATGTTTTCTACACTAGTAAACGCTAAGCGACTTCACACTCTAATCCGCAAAGCTGCTTGAAGTAGAAGCTGAGAAACAAAGAGAGTCTGGGCACAGCGAGGAAGAGAGTACACCAGTCACCATTGTAACGTCACAAAATGAGCTGAGCAGGGGCTGTGCTTTGAAGGTGACAGATAATATTTTGAAGCATTTGCTCACTTTTGTGAAGTGGTTTTTTGAGTAGTGATGTTCAAACCACTTGCATTGGTGCTCACATTGCCTCTCATACACAAACACGTTCTTTTACATTCTTCTGGACTCCAAGTATATAAAGCCCCTAGAGACAGCCCTGAGAAGTGGGGAAGCACTATTGCCTCCACTTTCCAAATGAGGTAAAATGATGCATGCAAGAGATACATAACTTGAACCAAGATCACACAGAAAAACAGACGCAGGAATTTGAACCCCCAGCATCTTGATCTCTGTAGGGTTAACGTGCCCTAACCGCTGGCATGCTTTTCTATCTTCCACCAAACTTTACCATATTGACAAAGCAGACATGCTGCACATTTCCTTAGAAAAATTAAGCTAAGGATAAAAGCATATTTCAGGCTGAAACGATCATGGAGAAATACTTAAAAATATCATTTGGATGGATCCCAGAGATTAAAAAAAAAAAAAAAAAGGCAGTAAAAGAGATCAACCTTTTTAGTTACTTTTCAGAATCTAAGAAAAAGTCAGACCTCATCCTTATCATAGGGCAATCTGGGATCCCTAGGTATAGTTCACAGGCAGGAGATGACAATAATTTAATGAGGATGGGCCTGGTCTGAACATGCAGCAGGGAGACAGGATTGCGTAGTGGTGTCAGTCACAATAGCCTTTGCAGGACTGCCTCCTCTCACAGGAGGGCACTTGCAATATCCAGCTACCCCTAGGCCACCAAAGTGCCGTCCCAGGGACAACCAGCTGACACAGCCCTATAAAGGGACTCATATTGAATTGCTCAAAGCCAACATATGGCTCAAAAGCTGACAAATCATTCGTATCTTCTCTATATCTAGATAAAAGATCTTAAGATCCAGAGAGGAGTCCTTCTCAACAGCCAAAAAGAAATCATGAAAGAAGCTGAAGCCTTGTTTACATGTGTTTTTCTCCCTAGTTTGGTTTTTTTGGTCTCCATTTAAAAAATTCCAAGCGGTAGGACAGCCAACTCACAACTGTAATTGTAATGCTTCTCAGTTACTACATATCATCATTACATTGGAACTAGGACAATTTATACCAACTGCAAGTCTGGCCTTAAAACTATCACCAAAAAAATCCCTTTCTAAAACATCTGAGCAAAACACTGCACTGTTTATTCTTTTTCATCAGACAATTTTGTTAGAGTCATGTAAGAAAGGAAGTAAAATTATACTTACGTAGTTTAATATATTTTTTACTTTTTTTGAATAGTGGCTTTTGGTTACTTTTCACTTCAAAGACAGAGCTAAGATCTTTCTTGGATCCCATTAGAATGTCTATCCCAATACATAACATGAGAAACCCTGTAAAAATATAAGTCATTAGTTTTCTCATAGAGTTTAACACATTAAACACTGAAACACAAAAGCCGGGAATTTATAGATGTAGTTATTTTTGGGTTCCAACAGCAAGACAAATGCAGCCAAACCACAAACACAGATAAATGCCATACCAACTGTAGCAACGCAGGAGATACATGAGATTTCTGGATAGAGAAGACCCTACTTATCATTGCCACAGTATTCACTTATGCCTGCAGCACTTCAACAGTAATACAATATTTTTATTTACATTGTCCCACTTGCTGACATAAGCACTGCTTGCAAAAAAATGAGCTAGTGACACTAAACATACCACCAGTGAGAAATATTTCAAAGCAGAAGTACTGCAATAAGAATTTAAAGCTAAGAGTATTTAAAACTCCACTGAACATTTTCTTATTGCCCTTTCCCATACATTAATTGTAGTGAAGGTTTGCAAACCAGGAAACTGGGTCTAGACAGTGAAGAAGGGGGCAAAAACAGAGAAAAAAGCTTTCTCAAAAGCATACTGATTCAAAGCCATTAGAGCCAATGGAAGAGCACAGATCCACCTCCTGAGCGTTATGTTACATCACAATGAAGCAGCATATAAGTTTTGAATATAATGACCTTACTTTCATTGTCATTTTTCCCAGTGTGGTTCCCTACCCAAACTGCAGCAAGAGAAAGGCAGGATATTGGACAGGAGGAGAAAGCAAGAAATAGTATTTGCACCTGAAAGAAACCAGAAAACAACAAGAAGTTTGCCAGAATGTCAAGCTCTAAGGGAGAAAGCGCAGCAACAAATACACAGTCTCATGGTATATGAAAAGATTTTATATGCAATGGAGTGGCATCAAAGACCCAGAAACTGGATTCTCAGATGGAATAAACTCATGTAGTGCCATCAGCTGAGATGGATTCAGTTCACATTATTCTTTTTGCTACCTAAAGACAGTTAGGGCCTTCTCTGCATTACTACCCAATGATCATGCCAGGTTAATTAATCAGAAGTTTGTATTTCAAAGGAAGTGACAGAGAGGGATTTTATGTAACAGTTTTTTTCTGTCAAAGTATTACTCAAGAAAGCACGTTACACTCTCTATCACATGCTTTCTTTATATAACTTTTAAAAATAAAATTAAATGAAATGAGAAAACCTTTTCTACAGACCTCTCAGAGGGCTCTCAAAACAAAGAAAATTTCAATAAAACTAACGGAACCTTCCTCAAAACACAAACTGAAACCCCGAATGTGATTGTTGTAATATTTGAAACACTGTACATGGAGACTAAGAAACCTGGAGTGACAGAAAGTGGTTGCAAAGCGTATCTGAAATCAGAAAGCATTGCAGCAACAAGTCAAGCATAGCATTTGTTAATCTTTTTCAAAAAAACATAGTATGATATGTCACATTTTAAAAACAGATCATACACTTATCTCAAGACAAGGTTTAGCAATCTTTAAACACAATTAGTGAATGTTATTGAAACATGTTAACACCTATTAACAACACAATTTTGGAGACAAAACCAGAAAGGGTTTCATTTCCACCTCACCACCTTCATCAAGGAGTCGTTTTGCTGAAATCTTTCTCTTTGCTCATCTCAGTTCTTCCTCTGTGGTAAATACCTGATACTTTCTGTTCTTCTCTCACCCCTCTCCCGTTTGTCTGCATGTTTCTGACACTGCAGGCTTATCGACATTCCTCCAAACACGCTGGTGTGGCCACAAAGCATAAGGCAGAGTCACATGAAAAAGCAATTTCACGTCTCAGAAGCAGACTGGCTAGATCAGCCAGGAGGCTGCACTCTGCAGTTCAGAGCAGGACTAAATAACACGCTGAATTATGTTACTGTTTCAATAAGGCTTTTCAGCTTTCATAAAACCCTCAGTTTCCAGTAACTACTCTGTCATCCTAGGTACTATGCTGCTACCTGAGAGAGAGAGTTCACAGCTGCAGTCGCACCCTGGATTACAGAGCAGCAATATTTTTAGGGTGACTGATTAACACATCTCTTCCTCAGTTGTGTACTGGGTTCAGAGTTTTTTCTACTCTTTGTCATTTTCCCTCAGCTGAATTCCATTTTCTGCCTATATTTTAAAATATTTTAACCATGGAGAAAGAGGTAGGGTTTGGTTTTTCTGGCATGGCTCTCTAATTTTCTCATAGAAACTCCTACCATAGGAAACCAAATAGGAATTGAGCATTTAGAAAGACTAGTTGTACACTAGATGCATTTTAAACATCTGACTCAGGCTAAAGAAAGCATATTTGTCTTTGTTCATAGTCATAAATGTACCTAAAAGAAGGTGGGAGCTTTCTCTAGCATAAATTCCTCCAGGTACAAATTTATAAGCAGTACACCATACACAGAAGAACAATTCAAGAACATAGGCAAACATGGCTGCAGTCATGGCTTTCCCAGGATGCAGACAGCTAATAAAGTGTCCAGCCAGGTGAGGCCACACACTCATAGTAAAGACAGCAAGAACGTTGCCTGCAATAGCAGCACTCCAGGTCTGTAAATAAAGGAGACCAGCCGATGATGTTATACCTGTAAAGGGAGAGAAAAGAATGGTGTGAGTCACAGACAGCTATATTATCCGCCTTCTTGTTATTCACAGTCTTTCTGGAAAAAAAAAAGAGAGTTCGGAAAATGTAAGCGTGCTTTGCAGCCATGCAAAGCACTGCTGCGCTGTAAGGATGGTTTTCCTCTATAGCCAAAGACAGCCTCTCACTTTTCTCAACATCTCATACTCTTAAAGATTGTTTATTCTGCTGCAGACAGTACAGCAAAAATGCTGCAAAGAAACATCACCAGCAGCAAAATCCAAAGACTTTTGGTTACATAAAACTCTCCCAGCCCAAGAGATGGATTATGCCATTTCTAAGGGGTTAACAGGCATTTGCCTGTTATGAACCTGCTCTGACACAATAGGTAAGGAATCAAATGGGTTAACGTGAAGAGAAAGTATTGCTTTCCCTGACATCCTCTCCCCTTCAGATAACCAAATGATGGACAGAAAGATACCTATTCATCTTTTACCAACTGCGAGATCTTTAATTTGCCACACACTCTTTGACTGCGATGGGATTTGGCCAAGCGGAACACTAATAACCACAAAACCATTTATAACAGGAGGACTTTATTTTAAAACTTTGTAGTACTTCAGTAAATATTTTATCTACAATAACATTCATGTTATGATAGCAAGTATGTAGAAACATTTTTAACCTTCTGCTCTTATGTTTCTAGGTTCTGAGCATATACAATGCATGATAAAGAATCATTTTGTACTTGTTTTAAATTAGCAATGTGTGTTCATCAGAAATCAAATGCTCATATTCACATTACAATTAATGCACACATCTCTTAAAACTGCCACCTGCACCACAGGGTAAATTATTAAGGCAACCGCTTGTTTAAGCATTGCAAGTTCTTGTAGCTTTATTGTGACCTTCCTGATATCTTATATTTTACTTTCACTCCTGAAAACAAGTAATTCTGGGAGAAACTTAGTTTGCATTAAGTCTGTAGTCTTCCAGGTTGTGGAGAGTGACTTGAAAGTTTTGGTTCCTAAACGCTCCAAAAGACAGTTAGAAAAAAAAGCAAAATATAAATTTATTATTTTCTTAGGTCTCCACACTTTGAGGTCCTGATTTATTTTTAAATTTTGCAGGAAGTATTGCCTTGTCTTCTTGAAATTAACATCTACAAACAATTAGTTAAGGCCAAAAAAAGCAGATTTTTTTGACAGTATTTACACCAGGAAGTTTAACTCAGATGGGCCTACAAATTAGACCGAGCTGCATCCAGCCATGCTGAGAAGGTATGGAAAAATTACCTCTCCACATCTTAAGAGCAGAACAAGTCCCTTCTCCAACTTGCTTTGCAGCTTCCACAGCATAGCTGTACCCCCCCACACACTGAAAATGGACGTCCGGCTCCAGCAGACCTAGATCCCCCTACCCACCACCCAATGTATTCAAAAATACATTGCTCCAGCAGAACTGCTTTGATGGTCACATTATTTTACTGCCCAGAGATCTTGGCAACCAAGGAGACAGGAGGTAAGCTTGCCCAAAGTGAATTACTCATTAAATTACAAGTCATTGTGCCTCCTGCAGAATCCAGAGCTTAGTCTGACTTCAATCCCATAACCCCAGACATAGCCTTACACAATGCAGCAGGTGAGAACCGAGATTGTACTCATGCAAACACAACCTCAACAGGTCTCAATTGCTCTCAAGAGAGCAATGCTCTCTGCGTCAGCCTGGAAATCTGGCCTATAAGCCTTAGTCGGCTGATCAGGCGTGCATCTACCACAGCTAGTACAGAGAAAAAGAAGCATTGATCAGTGACTGACTACTTCAGCATGGTGGTTTAGGCTCCAAGGGCATAAGTAAAGGGAGTAAGGTAATAGAAACAAAAATTCTGCTCATGATTTGCACCTACCTATAAGGAACCAGGCAAAACTGGTGACAGAAAACCAACTCCAGAATGAAAGCATCAATCCATGAGCCAGTCCCAAAAGAACTATACCTCTAATACCAAAAATAAGGAAAAAGAATTCTGTTATTCACAAATAAACTTTTAGACATACAAGCAAGGATGCCTGGTAATATTTTATAGTCCTTTTTCTTAGGCAGCTCTCACTTGAACACAATATATCTTTATCTCACACTTCACTGCTTTTTCTCCTCTTTGTAGTGAAGTCAAAAACATCCAGCTGAAAGTAACAGCAGTTTATCATAGTATA